TTAACAAGCTTTGCGTATGCGCCGTTGAGTTTTAAAAGTTCGTTGTGCGTTCCCTGCTCGACAATAGTTCCTTGCGACATGCATACAATGTTGTGGGCATCCCTGATGGTAGAAAGACGGTGAGCAATAGTAATAGTAGTTCGACCCTCCGCAGCGGCCTCTAACGCAGCCTGTACGACGCCTTCTGACTTGGTATCTAACGCGCTTGTCGCCTCATCGAGTAGAAGAACTGGAATTAAAGTCAGATAAATTTACGTGCTTCTTGACGCGTTATGACTTACTCTTAGGGTCCGACACGACGGCTCTAGCGATAGCGATACGTTGCTTCTGACCACCGGACAATAAGAATCCACGCTCGCCAACATTTGTTTCGTATCCCTCTGGTAAAGCCATGATGAAATCGTGAGCATTGGCCTTCTTAGCTGCTTCAAAAACCATCTCTTTCTGTTTTTCTTCGCTTTCATTTTCGTATTTGGTGCCAATGAGACCATGCTTGATGTTTTGATAAATCGTAGTACCGAATAGGGTAGGTTCTTGGCTGACTAGGGACATCTGTTGGCGTAACCATCGGAGATTCAAAGTGCTAATATCGTGTCCATCTAGCAATACTCTACCCGCCACAGGATCGTAAAATCGTTCCACAAGTCCAACGATAGTACTCTTTCCGGACCCCGAAGTTCCAACCAATGCCGTCGTCTTACCCGCCGGGATCTCCAGTGTCACATCCTTCATGACAACAACCTCAGGTCTCGACGGATATATGTGCTTGATGTTCTCCAGACGGATCGTACCAACAACCTTCTCCAGCTTCTCACCACTCTCGGAAGTGGGATCCAATGGGGACGCACGATCAATGGTGTTGAAAATCTTGGCTGCAGCCGCAAGTCCGGTGCCGAAAGCCTGGAGATTGGGGGCGACGTTACCCAGATTGAAGGCACCAATGATAACCGACATCATAATGATAAGGACGCTCGATAGCGGGATGACACCGTCGACAAGGTATTTGCTGCCCATCCAGAAACTGAGACCGTAGTTCAAGTATATAATCCAGAACATGCCGGCAACCATGCACGCGACCGAGGCAGACTTTCTAAACCCAAAGTGTTCTGCTCGGATGAGGTGGACGTCGTATTGCTTCGATAGGGTACCTTGGGTACCAAAAGCAATAGCATTACGAATTGAGCTGATGACCTCCTCAGCGACGCTGCCTCCCGCCGCATACGCCTGGATGGAGTCCTTGGTATACTTGACGACGAAGCGAGATCCAGTTCCCATGACGAGAAGTAAAGCAAAGAGCGAAGAACATAGAATCAAGGTCAATTTCCAATAGAAGACGAAGCCAATGACGAAGGCGGACACGAATGTTGCCGCTGCTGTCAATGTCAACCCAATCTTCTCAGAAATACCTTCCTGGATCAAATTCGTGTCGGCAGTAATACGAGTAGTAACCTCGCCAGCACCGAGCTTGTCGAAAAAGCCGATGTTCTGGCGCATGCAGCTCTCCAGGTAGTGCTCGCGAATCTTGGCGCTTATGTGTTCTCCGGTATAAATAAAGCCGACGGTTGCGATATAGATGGTTACGAACTCGCCGATGGCCAAGTACACGAAATATAAGACGAGGGTAGTCATCTCGTCCATGAAAGCGTCGTACCCGACAGTACCGAGAAAGAATCCCTGGAACGAATTTTGAAGGTTACCGAAGACGACCGTCATTAGTGGCAACGCGGCGCCGCCCGCGATAGCGCATATAGAGCTGACGGCCATGACTATAAGATCATTCCGAGAAGAGTACCGGTATAAAGTGAGGACGCCGGTCCTTACTTCAGGCGTTATGACTTGTCTCTTGAGAATCTCGGCCTCGTCGGCGGGAAGATGACGAAAAGGATCATCATTGGAATCCTTGGCCGCCTTCACATCTTTCGAATCTGCCTTCTCCAATGCTGGTCCGGATCCGGTAGAATTTCGTCCCTTCTCCGAGTCGCGTTGACTGGAATTGCGACTTGAGGGACCTTCCGCGGCGGCCATCTGAGGCTTTTCCGAGATCTCGTTGGCCATGGCTGCGCTTTGGGTGAAAATGGAGAACCGGTGGTGTCGAGGGTTCTCGCGCGCCGGACGAGATATATTTACGTGGGAAAAACAAAAGGGGGCGGTTCTTGACCGATAGAACGTTGCTGCGGTGTGCCCAGATGCTCCAGACCTTGTTTTCTTAAAGTTCTCGTATGCTTAGTTGGGTTTTAGCGCCTTCTAGTTAATAAAATGCGATGTTCGCTTCTTATCTAGATGTTCAGATGCTGTACATAGTATAAACATGACGGGGGTGTATTAGGTATAATATTATAATTTCCCACTTAATACGTAATTCTTAATGATTCACCGCACGGGATTCGGACGTTAATCCCGGGGCCGAACTCATCCTTTTTCTACGTAAGTTTCGAATGGCAAATAAAGAACAAGGCAAGGATGGTCCGATGGTGCATGCAATTCCAACTTGGGTAGGTGTAGAAGATTCTAATCGATGGGACTGTGGGATGGAATTATACAGGCCGGGCGCGGAAGGCAAGAATTCCGAGCACAACGTTAACGCTAGACTCGCAATCGGTAACTGTTGCGCAGGTACTTAGGGTATGTACCTACCGAGTGGGTTGGTGGGGTACCATATGGAGTCAATTCGGAGTTAGGTGCCAGACTGCCAGCGTGGATTCTGCAAACCAGGATACGAAAGATACGAAATACGCCGCATACGACAATTTGCAAAAGCAAAATTTATACCATGTGCTCCTACCTGAGATGTGTTTGGTTACTTTATCGACCTGACCCTTTTGAGCTTTCGATTGATTTATTGTCTTATAAATTTCTCTACATAGTACATACAAACAGCTGGGGTACTTACGTCTATATAATGTATGCGAAAATTAGTATACCAAACTAAAGGGGCCACTATAAAGGCTAGTGATGCAAAACTTTGTCGCGTAGCAGTAGCTAAAGGGGTAGCAACTGACTATTCTTCTTCCCGCTAGTTAATATTATTATTAAATCTCATAACGGGATTCGAATATGAAACCACGTGAAAATTCAGATGGGGCCAACGAAAAATGTCGTGCCTGTCATCTCATAAATCCCTGTTCGAATATAAAGGTTCCGTTCCGCCGTTGCACGAGATTTCCATCTTACATAATGTATGTAACAGACGTAGTATTTGGGCTCTTCAATTCCGTATTACAGGATAACCGCTAATTATACTAATTATGTACATTAGCAGCGCTCCCCCCACATCCCAGAGACTTAACATGGCTTTGTTTAAGCTGAAGGTCGGCTAACTAATTGCGTAGATCTGATTGATAGCACACCTGATGCATGCGATCTGGAATGACAAATATTTGAAAAGGCGTATCAATACATAGGACGTGCATATTAAGATCGTGTACATACAAAAAATTACTATACCTACCTAACCTACATAAAGCAGCTGTATTATCGGTTGTAGATACCGGTACCAATCATACTACATATCGGCAGAGTCATCCCGAAGAGTCACCCCGAAGAGTCACACCGTTCGTTTATAGTGCCTACAATCTCCTATAATCTCCTGCAATACCATGATATGTATGTATATGACTCTTACGACTGCTTAATTATACCCACTTAGAATAAGATGCACCACTAGCTAATAACTTTGCTTTTTTCTTTTTACGAAGCGAGAACGAGCGCAGCAGCAGCAGGATCGATAACCTATAAGATTATCAGATGGCCAAGATGATACTACCTGCTCAGCAAACAGCGCTCGGAGTTCGGATTTCTAGTGAATTTCGGTACCCGATCATGTAGCAATGCTGACTTCGGCACCTAGTTTAGAGGTATTTTGCGCATGAAACTAGTGGACGATTGGGTGCGCTCTAGAAGCTTATTTGGTAGGTATTGAAGATCGCTGCCCGGGTCCGTAGCTGGTATAAATACACCGAGATAAGAAGGGGAGGGAGGGGCGGCTCTCGCTTCCTTGATCCCGTTAGTCTTCCCATCTCATTATATAAATACCAACCAACCAACCAACCCGTATTCGATCTTATTCCTCTTAGGGATCATCGCCGAGATGCGCCGAATAATACATAGGCAGAAGCTTGCGTTGCTAGGACCCATAGCCATGTGTCGTAAGCGAGCCTGGGACGCTCTACATAGTATGCTAATCGGCGTCGGCACGCCCAAAGTCCGGATTCCAGTAGAGATTTTCATGATTCGAGACTTATATACCGACGATATTCCTCCATAAGACAAATACATACATAACGCGTCACGTAGTTAATAACATGACAAACCGGACTTTCTTTATGCATTAGGTATTCTGTTGAGGCGAGAAGGCAACCCGAAAACGAGACGAGACACTCGAAACGGGCGACGGGCCGCTTTAAGTAAATGTTTAATAAATAAATGAAACCAGGGTAGGTATGTGTAACTTGTAGAGTTGCATATAGTGCGGCTGAAGATTCAGTTGTTAGGCTACCCGAGGCAAGTAGCACGAGGCGACACTAGAAATACTTCGTACATATATTCCGTATCATTTATAACATTATTATGTGCATATCTACCTAACAAGTATGTATAATATTATGAACGCCTACCTACTGTAATATTGCCCCAAGCGCCCCGCTTCCGTCATTTCAGCCTTACACAATGTCGCAAACCAACACCAACAACATCGAATACCTCTTAAGATTAAAAACAAGTTGATATTAAGCGGCCAGGTGTCCTTTCAAGTTCGGTGGCGAATACACAAACCCCTTGTGTCTATCAACAACCGCCTACTTCGGAACTTTTTCTAGTATTGCGGTGAAACATACAGCTTCTATTACCTGATGTCGTTGATCGAAATACCCATGGTCTGAGTTCGAACGGGTAATTCCACCCCGTGCAACCTCATCATCGAATCAGTACCTATCTCCAGCTAGCTGCTTCGGTCGTAATTTAATGTTGAATTGGTATATGAATTAAATCGTCATATTTATTATACATACACACATACACACATACACACATATATACCTACATATCAACCAGCCAGCCAGCCAGCCACAATGCATCTCACCCTCCCCCCATCCCTCCTCCTCCTCCTCTGGACCTCTCTATCCCTCCACCCCGCCTCCTCCGCCGCAGCCAAGCCCCCAAACGCCATCCTCCTCTCAGACGTACAATCCCTAATCCTCCGCGGCGCCGGCGCCCACACCAAACACAGGCGCGTGTCCCCCATCCCCCAGCTGCGCTGCGTCTCTTCCCCGGCCATATGCCGCCTCCACGAGATCGACGTGATGCGCTGCGCGAACCAGGGCTCCGGCTACGACCCCCAAGACATCCAGTGGTCGTGCACCGCCTCGCTGCCCCCCGAGCTCAAGCTCGGCAGCACCGACGTCCTTTGCGAGGGGTACTCGTCCCCCGACGACCCGTACGTGTTGAAAGGGAGTTGCGGCGTCGAATACCGCTTGCTCCTGACCGAGTCCGGCGAGGCCAGGTTTCCGGATATCGCCGAGACGGGAGGAGGAGCAACGGGGCCGAAGACTATGTCGGAGAAGATTGCTGCTGCCCTGTTCGGCGTCGTGTTTGCCCTTGTCTGTATGATTATAATCTATTCCGCCTGCGTGAACGCTAGGAATGCGCCCAATGCTCCGCGGAGACCGAGGGATACCCGTTGGGGGGGAGGAGGCGGCGGATTTGATCCGGGTTTCGGGCCCGGCGGAGGTGGTGACGACTGGAATGACCCCCCGCCGCCTTATCCGGGGTCTAAGTATTCGTCTACGACGGGAAACCAAAGTTGGCGGCCTGGATTCTGGACTGGGGCTGCAACTGGGGCTGCAGCAGGATATGCGGCCGGTAGTCGACGGTCCGGACCGGATAGGCGAAGTTCTAGTTACGAATCAAGGGCAGGCCCGTCTGGCTCGTCATCACAGTCGACATCCTCTGCTAGATATGAAGGTACAGGATTTGGTTCAACAAGCCGAAGGTAGCAGACAAAAGGACACGATCAGTCACAATATTATATAAAATAGGAGCTTTGCTCGTTATCAAGTAACTTATTAGGTCTTCTATTTGTTTGCACTCGCTATCCTGTGCTGTAGCTCGTCGCGAAACGTGAGTGGTGAAGCTATTCACTCGATGAGCCACCAACCCCTTGTGCAGACGCAAACTAAAGCCTCATCTTTCACTGGCAAAACAGGTTGGGTTCGAATCCTCGAAATACCTAATAAACCTCTGCAGAACTGAAACCGAGACTGCTCTCTTCAGCTCTCCCAGGGCAGAACTCACGTCTGCAAATAATAGTAGTATGTACATCAACTCTTACATGTAACAACGCCGTTTCCTCTTAATGGTACTTTACAATGCATGCATCCCCGTTCGTGGTCCCGGAGCTTCCTTTAGCTTCTACTATAGGTGGACGGTCATCGCATCCGACTTGTCGAAAGCTTTACTACATGCGGGGCACTTTCGCATTCGGTTAGAGATTCTATCGTCAATGCATCCTCTGCAAAAAATGTGTCCGCAAGTTCGTAGAACTGTGTTCTTGAAATCCTTTTTGCAGATTGAACACGTTGCCATGCTCTGGTGAAATCGTTAGAAACTGGAGATACCTTTGATCGTAGGATATTGTACTTACTCTTAGCATTTCCTCTTCCTCCGAAGAGTTACTCAAGCACTTGACCTTCCACTTATCGCGATCCTTCGATACGGACTCGAGGCGCACCTTCAGCTTCTCTACGTCTGTTTCCAAAGTGGCAGCTCGCTCTTTAGCGACCGCAGTGGTCGAGTCTTTCGATTTTGCCAAATTCGCGAGCTCGGTAACTTGCTGCTTTAGCGCGTCGAAGCGTCGAGACATCTCGGTGCTCGATGTCTCAAGCTTCCTATTTTCGGCCATGACTGAAGCGTTCGTCTGCTTTAGATCCGCAAGTTGTTTATCTAGGTTCGTTACGAGTGTTCGGTTATGGGCCTCCACCTCTTTCAATTGCGAGATGATTTCCGTGCTCTTGCTGTTCTGAGTACGTAGCTTCTGGATCGCTTCGAACTTCAGGTCGCCATCCTTTCGCGCCGTGAAGTACTTTTGATCCGCTTTGCTCTTCTCGGCGATAGCTAAAGCTACCCGCTCTTCCATAGCTGCTTGATCCATAACCTTTTTGTGAGCAAGGGCCTGAAACCTTTTAACTGCATGTGTCATGCCTGGCAACTCGCTTTCGATCGAATTATAGTCCTTCAATAGCTTCTTGTACTTCTCTCGTAGTTCCTCGAGCGAAAGCGCGTCTATTTCCGGCCGTTGTGTCATGTCTACATCCTCGCTGGGTTGTAGTCTTTGCAATTCCGACTCTAGGGTGGCGATTCGGTCCTCTTCAGCACTAACAAGTTCCTTCATATGTTCCAAGGCCGTTTTATCTTGCTCCTTACTGGCCCTGAGCATTGTAACGTCTGCATGAAGCTCATCTCGTGCGGATCTCACTCGTGCGAGGGTGGTGTCTGCCTGCTGAAGCTGGTCCTCGAGTTCCGCAATTAGTGCCTGGGCTTCGCTCTCGACCTTTCGGCGGTTTGACTCGCGCTCGGCTTCTAATTTTTCGGCCGCCGCTCTGAGGCTCTTGTTATCTGCTTCCAAGCTGTTAACCTTGCGGAGAAGATCTTCCATCTGGCTCTTGAACACCTTGAAGACTTCGGTGCGAGAGTAGTCCTCGTCGGTTAAGTTTGTTAGCCGGGTCTGTACGGAAGTAAGCTCTTCTTGCAGGCTTTTATTTTGAGCCAACGCGGATTCTAGCTGCTCCTTTTGCCGTTCTGCAACAGCCTTAGCTTCGCGGAGGGCTAATTGCAATGCCTCGCTGTTCGTATTACTCTCATCGGAAGACACGCCATTCTCTTGGTCTACACCCACAGACCGAGTAGATACGTGATTTAACGCCTGTTGCTCAAGTTTCTGTACTTGAGCACTTTTAGCCCGATCGAGCCTTCTTTCCGCTTTCATATATCGGAGTGTCGCGATGTTCAGTTGCTCAGAAAGGCTTTCTTTGTCGGCGGAGAGACGATCGAGTTTAACGAGAAACTCTTTTTGCTGGGATAGGAGCGCATTGACCTTTTTCTCTAGGTCTGTGATGTCGGGAGCTACCTTGCCACGAGTCCCATTAAGACGGCCAAGTATCGCCTCAACCATCTTTTTGATAGTCGAAGTCTTCTCGCTTAAGTGCGACTCGAACTCTTCCAGATCTTTGAATTGGGTATGTGTAGGAAACGGTTGGCCTGCAATATGGTCTTAGCATCGTGAATTCAGAACATCAAGGTAAAGGAGGGTTTTCTCACTATCAGATCCTTGTTGGAAAGGCACATTTCCTTCAACTAATAACTCTATCTCCTGGAGCAACTGTCATTGGGCTTAGTATTTTTATTATCAAAGTCGCCTTCGATGAATCAGACATACCTGTATCCACCAGTTGTCGACAATTCGGATGTGGTCGTCATGGTGTGCTGATCGCTTCTTGACCTCGCCCAGTTGAGTCTCAAGGGTATTCTTCTCGCGCTTATACTCAAGCATTTGTCGGTAGATAGCATCTTTTTGATAGTCCTAACCAATCCATATCTGTCAGCGACTCCATTTCCCTTATATGTATCATGTTGGGTGGCGCGAGTATACGTGATGACGAGGCAACTCGGATCAGGTTGCATAATAAAGAGCGAGAGGATATTAGAGTATGGGATGGTGGTAGGATTGAATGCTGATGACAGTAGAGCCGCGCATCAGTACTGAAATGGTGAGTAGAATATTCTGATGACGACTTGAAACAAAGGCTACGAGGGTCTCGTGCTGGGGTGAAATCGCCTGATAACAGCGACGATAAGAAGTTGGAAGCCGTGTTTCGGTAGGCGGTATTGTTTCAAGGGGAATGAGTCGCGACCGCGAGACTTACCTCGATCCAGGCTTCATCCTTCGCGTCGGTATCGTCCTTGGATTTACTACCGCCGTTAACGGCCTGTCGTTTGCTAGGAGGGGCCATGTCATCAGCGCTGCTCATAGCAGGACGCTTACGGTCCTCCATCTTGATGCGAGTCGATAGAGGCGCAGTTGTAGGCGAAGTGGATAGAGGCATCAGAATGAATAAATTGAAAGGGATGAGAAAATCTAGTTGTAGAAGGAGTAAAACAAACAAGAGGCGGGAAATGGGAAAGCGAACGGATCGGCGAAAAGGAGGAGTTGGCAATAAAATAGAAGGCGAAGTAGGCTTTGAGAGGGCTCAAAAAAAATTAAATAGTACAAGTGCCTCCCCGGGTGAAAATTTGTGTGTGCTGACCCAGTGGTAGCTAGAGGAAAGCGTGCCTTTCGCGCCGATAAATGCAAACTGTCGTCAAGGAAATGGTTGGAAAAGTAATGGGAGGAAGAACGAGCCTGGGCTCCAGGAGTTGTAGAACGAAAAATCGAGGTTGAAATCGAGAAAAGCCACAGAAAGGGCCACTAATCTGAATTGGGACAGGCAAGAGCGTACCTTCCTAGGTAGTCAACACGAGTCAGGTCTTGATAACAAGTCAAACAGGCCTATGAGGTAGGTACAGATTCAGAACGCCTACCGGTAAAGCGGTGGCCCGTGTGCATGCGCGTCTTCTTCCTTCCAGTTGAACGTATCCACTACTATGTTAAAAAAAAACAGGTACGGCCAGTTCCATATCCAATCCCGGCTCTCAGTTATTATCCCACCAACCCCACCCAAGTATTTCTCTTTCTCAATCACTTAATCAAATACAACTCGATTCCTTTTTGTATCCGAACAACTTCGACAAGGCCACACACTTATCCGAGTCACCAATTAGGATTGTCAATTCTGTCATTAAGGAGGAGGGTTCGAAAAATTATCGACAAGGCAATGCGCAAGATAATATATCAGGCATAGTAACCGTAGGCATCAGCAGCCATGAGTTCTATGCTGAAGAAGACCGGAGGCTTGTCCTTCAAGCCAAAGATTGCTCCTCGTCGACCAGGCGGTGCTCCCTCGTCATCGCAAGCACCTCCCGCATCCTCACCGGCTAGTACTACGAGAGCTCCTACTACCGAGGCTCCCTCTCAGGCATCAACACCTGCGCCTACCGTTCCTCCCACTCCCTCAGTCGAGTCATCTGGCCAAGCAGAACTACCAAAGGAAAATCCGAAAGAAACTCCCAGAGAGCCGCCGCAAGTTGAATCGGAGCAGTCAACTTCCCCAACTCGACAGGATCCTGCAGTATCTGCTACGTCCAGGCCAACTCCGCCCTCGACAGCTTCTTCCGCAGGTGTCGAAGTACCATCAGCGCCAACGTCAGCACCTACCGAGAGAGTTACCGCCAGAGAAACGGTACCGACGCCAGCCCCGACCACAGATGAGCCTCCACAACAGTCGCCTTCGATCTCGATCTCGCCTCCTACCGACCGACCAACACAACCGACGCCGACACCGGAAATCTCAGCATCAGGAACTTTGGCAACTACTGGTCTAGACAAACCTGCGCCTAATACATCAGCTTCTGTTAGCTCGCGACCCGCTGCTACCGCACGTACGTCAATATCACACCCGTCTGCTTCCGTACAGAGTCGACTCGCACCGCCCACCGCACCTCCATCTCCTGCGCCCGTTTCCGACACGATTGCCGTCTCTGCCCCGGCTGATGAACCTGCCGCTGCTGCCCCGAAGCAGAAAAGGGTGTATCGCAAGCGTAAGACTGTTACGGATGATAATACTGCCGCAGAGGGCTCTGCGCCGAAGAAGAGACGTCCTCGCAAGAATCCTCCCGCCGAGGGCAATGGAGAAACGACAGCAGAAGGAGCGGAAGGAGTGGGAGGGGCACCCCCAGTCAAAAGGACATATAGACGTCGCAGACGTTCATCTACTCCCGAGGACCCCGAAAGTCAAACAGTTAATCACAGTACGATGAAAATGGCAGATTTGACCAAAGATCTGGGAATTGGCAAGAAATTCAAGCACGCAGAGGCTATAGAGGAGCGCGCACGACAGGCACGTGAAAAATTTCGCCAGAAGAAACTAGCAAAGCAGAGACAGCTTATGGGGATTCCTCCCGACGGAGAAGATGCCTCTCGTGCTAGCACTCCCGCAGAAGGCGAAGAAAACAGCAGAGAGTCTGCAATTGCGCGAGCTAGGAATCTAGGTGCTTCAGTCGATGCAGGCGCACAATCTGTCGGTTACGAAGTTGTGGACGGTCAGATTATAATTAACCAAGAGTCGCTTGTAGTAGACCGACATGCAGCGCACCGAGACATGTCGTCTCTCGAAACTGTCGAAGAAGACGAGTTCTCCCACTTGACTACCTCGGCTTCGTTTAGACGTGAGAGCCGCAGAACAGGCGCGAATCACTGGACTGACGAGGATACCGTAAGCCACTTCCCCTTTTCCCGTATGCAAGGAAAAGGAATGGTACTAACGCCTTCCCAGGAACGCTTCTACCGCCTCCTCAGCATGTTCGGCACCGACTTCGAGACAATCGCAAGCATGTTCCCCGGCAAAACCAGACGCGCCGTCAAGCTCAAGTTCAACCGCGAAGAGACCCAGCGCCCGCGCCGCATCAACGCCGCGGTCATGGTCCGCGGCGAGAAGCGCGTCGGCATCGATCTAGAGGAGTACAAGGCCCACCAGCCCGAATGGCGCGAGAGCGACGCCATTCTTGCCGAACACGCCGAACTCGTCCGCGAACACGATGAGGATATTCGACGCCTGAGAGAGGAGAGGCGTGCGGCTGGGTTGATTGATGATGATGAGGTGGAGGGACAGGGACAGCAGCAGCAGCAGAATGGAGAGAAGCAGCAAGGTAACGGCCAGGGAGGTCAGGGGAGCGCAGGGGTAATCGACCCATATGCAGTCACGGAGGAGGTGGTAGTTGAGGGTTAAAGGGGCGCGCGTGTGTGTGGATGAGGAACTGGCCCGAACAGCAACACCCGCAAGCTTGTTTTTGATACCCCGTTTCCTTAGCTTGCTTGGTTGCTTGCTTACGCGAGCCGGACAGACAGACACACGGTCTTGTTGAAAGTCAAAGGTCAAAAGGTGATTTATGGAATATCGGCGTAACGGACTACAAAAAAGGGGGAAAGGAGTGAGGCGGTCTCCAATGCTATTGATGGCATGGCATTGACGAAGGCATATTTTACGGCTTTAGCTTGGCTTGGCTTGTGTTTTTCGATTTCGTTACATTCACTGCAGCCTCTTTGGGGCTATTTTAGGTAGGTATGTTTACCTACGATTACATAGCAGATCCGAAGGCAGCGATCGCTAGCATAAAGCATCTATTGCAATTAGTCGCACAATGAGGAATTCGAATACTACATATTTCATCTTAATTACTTCGCAAATGCAGTGTGCCGTATCACTTCGTCAAAAAAAAGAAAGCCTAGCCATACAGCGCAAAGAGGCAGATTCTGGGAAATCAGTAGTTATGTAGAATTCAGAACTAAGCTACAGACTCGGTTCATCTAACCATCGTTTTCCTCTTCATCTTCCTCGCGGAACGGAGAACCCGCCGTCCACTGAACCGGGATGCCTCGGCCCGAAAGTACGTACGTATTTATTTCAGGACTGGGTAGTTCGGGGGTGGGAAAATTCCTGAGACCCATGGCCGTGTATGTTAATGGAGTCTTTCAGAGTGCCTCCTCCCGACAGAACAAAGCATTATGGAGAGTGAATAATAGCCATTAACAGAGGGGGATGGTGTGATAGCGCAGGGGTGAGGCGCCACACCGGATATCGTGAGGGGGCGTAAGAGCGTGAGACCAAGATGGCATAGTAAAGCGAGTATGTCGATCAATTCTGAGGAGGTTCATCGTCTTCCGGCTGGTCGAACAAGAAATTTGCGGCCAGCTCCTCGTTCTTATCACAGGCGAAATAAGCCTGGATTGCTGCGTCTCGGTCAAAACCTAATCGGCATAGCTAGACTTAAATTAGCTTTCCATATGGCATGTACTCTCGTAGGGTAGCTACATACTCTCTCAATGGCATCGCGCTCCTCTTCCGTAACGGCAATGGTCTGGGCGCCAGGAGGTAGAGGTGCATCGTCGTCACCGGCTTCGCCCAACAGGTTTAGGAACTGCTCGGGGTTCGAAGAGATCAGCTGCGCAAGCTGGGGGTTTCCGGCGCCAAGTTGCTGCAGGATAGGCTCGAGCATCTGGGGTTGCTGTTGAACCACTTGTCTAAGCTGCTGGAACTGAGCGTTGTTACGCAGCCAGTCCAGGTTACCTAGAGTCTGGCCACCAGCGGCAGCGGCGGCGGCGGCGGCTGCTGCTGCTTGGGTAGAGCCACTAGCTCCTGCACGGCTGCCTCCTCGACCCTGTTGCGCAGCTAGATCAAAGAGGTTGACATCACCTCCCTCGCCCTCACCTTGGGCCGGCTGGCTGGCAGCAGCGGCAGCGCCGGTTGCAGCTTGAGCGGGAGCCGCCTCATGCTGGGGCTCTGGTTGACGAGCAGTTTCCGGAATGCCCTATATCACGTCAGATGATGGGAAGCCCGTGGTCGGTTACAGCACTTACGTTCAAGAGGTATTCGACGGCGCGGTCTGGGTTATAAAAAGCGGCACGTAAAGCAGCTTCGATTTGAGAGCGCTCAAATCCCATGGCCTCCATATTAGCGATCACGCCAGCTCGGGCCTCGCCCATGGCCATAGAGTTGTCATCGTTACCACCAGCAGCAGCGGCAGGTGCAGGCGAGGGCGTGGCCGGCACCGCAGCGGCAGCAGTAGATAAATGAGCAGGTGCGGCCGGGGCAGCAGGAGTTGCAGCGACGGGTCGGGCGGGTGTCTCGGGCGGAGCGCTGGATGAAGAGGCTGCGGCAGAGGCGGCGGGGGCGGCCTTGGGCTATTGATTGTTAGCAAGACTGATTTTATAGACCCAAGCTAACACGGATGCGACAACATACCTTGCTCACCATACAAACGACATAACCCTTCTCCTCAATCTTGTGGGCCGCGACTGTCTCTTCGTCCTTGAGGATCTTGCCTATACTCAAGTTAGCATTCAGGTAGCTAGGGAATTCATCCGATTGTAGTACAGATACAACAGGAAAGCGAGAACGTACCGGAATAGATGAGCTTCAGAGCCTTGGCATCCCATCCTTTCTCTTCGGCAACTCTTTGCTTCAAGGTAGAAATCTTGATCCCAGTTAGAATACGATATGTCGTGGCGAATCACGGAGTTTAGGTTGGGGGTAGTAATGGTCGGCGATAACATGACGACATACAAGATCAGTAGGCTCTATGTCAAGCGTGAACTTTTGGTTCGAGAGCTCCTATAAGCAGAGTAAAAAGTGTTAGCATCTTCAATTATAAATAAGGCTTAGGATAGATGGCAGCTCAATTTAGGCGTGGACACCTCTTGTCATTAATATGTGATGCTTACCTTGAAGGTGACCTTCATGGTGGCGGCGGCGGGCAGCTTCAAAATAGCTGCGACTAGAATTTACGATAACGGTGGTGGGAGGTAAAGAGGGGTAGGAAGGCTGAGTTGGCTAAAGAAAAAATATCCTGGGAGAGCCTCTATTATGATGCAGAATGTGGCTAGAAACCAGGGGAGCTTCGGAAGCTTTATGGTTTTAACCAGAGAAAAAAAAGGGAAACTGGTTTTTGGTGGAAAGCAGCGGGAGTGGAAAGTCTGATTTGAGTCTTGAATTTCAGGTAGCAGTTTATGATGTGTCGCGGCGGGCAGTGGCGGCGGCTAGCGCTGCTGGGCTGCCGGCTGGTCATGCTTACCACATTGTGCACACTGGGAATGGAATTTTAGGTAATGCTTGCTTACGTACATAGATGTACCTACCATATGCATGTATGTAGAGGTACTAAATATGCGGGGTCCAATTGGTGGGGCTAGCTTATATACATTAGGTAGGTACAATACATACTACGCCTGATGCTACCTAAACAATTCCTAACTCAGTGCAAAAAATTCCGAAGTTAGAGATAGAGACAGACCTTACTCGCTACCTATTTCTCAACACATTAGGTTAGGTAAGTACCTCTTACGTTATTTTGAGTTTTGTTGGAAAGCAGAAACCAGCAGAAACCTACCAAAACAGATATAGTTGTGAAGTTGAGTTTTGAACACATGTCTCTATCATATATCATTTCAACAAGACCATCTACTCGTATCAGATAGTTTCACACAATTTTATTTATTTTTTATTTTTTACTCATTTCTCACTTCAATATCTATCTTCCACCTCCTCGAATCCACAAGGAGAGACTGATAAAGCCCTTTCCAAGGACCAATGTTGAGAACGTAGGTGGTTCAACGCCGCGCTAAAAAAAAAGACAATGGTATCTTCTAAGTTCCCCAAGCCCAATTCCACATTCCGAGGCCTCTCGAATAAAGAGTCCTGAGTCATATTCATCATCATCAGTAGTAGTCATGGATGCCATCAGTGGGTGGTTGAAGTCTCTTCTGAGGCCTCACGCTCCCGCTATTTCTTGACCTGATAATCGGTCAAGCTTGTCGTTGATCCGGCATTCAGAATCCATTCAGGAATCGGCGGCGTCATTTTCCTCTCTACAGCTAACTCTTCTACCCGAAGGAGATCTGTATTGGGGCTCGGTATCTTCCGGAAGCTGTCATAGCTGCCTTGCTGGCTAAGGGGCCCGGGGCCCGCTACTAGACTGCTACTACGCATTCGAGTGAGAGACTTCTCTGATATAGTCTGTCCTGCGTTGGGCGCTGCAACAACCACCGTTCCAGGAGTAACCGCTGGTGGTGCTGGAGAATCAGATCGGAAGAGCGGATGAATATGTAGTTCGTCTGACATGGATTGAGGCGTCATGCTACGCTCGTGTTGTGGCGGCCTGGGGAGCGGGCTGTAACTCCGGCTCCTGCGATTGCGGTTTGGATTTGGAGGCTCGAAGTCCAAAGCGTTTCCAGGGCTCGGGCTTCTGCTGGTTGTCGGACTCGCAGGAATAGTTTCCAGAAATCTACCTGGCCGGGTGGTCGGGCTTGTCTCCACGATTAATTGTCGGTTCTGGGTGTCGACTGAGGACGTATCCCAAGAATCAAAGCCATCCTCCGATACGGTCACGCTCGGTCGTTCTCGATAACCATTTGAGTCAATAGAAGCAGGGCGGCGCCCAGTTCGTGAACCCGAGGAAAGCAACCTCGCATGAGCTCCAATCGGGCGTACGGCCTGGGAAACAGAGGTACGGATTGAACTCATAGTCTCAGCCATCGATCTACCAGCGCTCGAGCCCGGTGGCGTTGGATAGTCCGTCAGTGTCCGCTTCCCAATCGTAGTCTGACTCGTAGCAGGCACCGTTCGACTATAGGGAATAGATTTTACATGCCTCGGCAGCTGTCGAGAGCTATCTTCATTAGTATGAAGTGATAACGCCTGCTCCGAGTCGGGTAACCGATGGACAACAAAGTAGACGACGATGAAAGCGAGCTGTCCCACGAAAGCGCAAACAAGTGCGATTGAAGTTCCGATACGCCAGTTCGTCAATGGCGTTTGTAATATCGTTTCAGGCAATCCCTCCGGTTTTCCCAACGTAACCAGCGTCACAACCGATGCAGCCGATGCCAATACACTTGCAAGAAGTCCTCCCGCGAACCAGATCCCATTAGACTTTCTTCTTCCAAACTCGACTCCCCGTCCAACACATTTAGCAAAAAGGATAATTAGTAATATCAACATTATTATTTCGAACGCTGAGGCGACAATTGCAGCGAATTTAGCTGGAGAGGGTGATCCCCAAAGCCCTTGAGCTACGATGATTTCAAGAGCCAGGATAGATGCCGTTGCCAATAGAGCAACGGCACCCAGAGAAGCGCTGACAAGAAGAGCCCTTGCCATATTGAAACGAGTGTCGTGGATAGAATTAAGCGTAGGCTAACACATAGAAATCCAAGCCTGTTGTATCGAAATAGTTTAATAGTCCAACACCTCTCGATCGTCTAAGACAAGTCGAATTATGCGCGTAGATGCACTAAGGGTCGGTGTATCGGTTAGGGGCAGCGAGGCCCACTACCGTCTAAAAACCCAGCAGCGAAGTCAACACAAGCTAAGCTTGTCCTTAATCCTACTGGCCAAGGTTGAGCCAGAGACGCAAAGTTGAGGCCTCAGCAGATTGAGCCTCTCGTCGATGAGGTTCGAACTGGAGGCTAGCCGAATACCCCGGATGATGATTCCCCAGGTTGAATACCGATATGACGGTAAAGGGACCGGGCCGCTGCGTGTATAGGAGTAGGAGGTTCCAAGACAAAATAATTAGCGGTCAGGGCAGTCGATAGCCGTGTCCGCCGGTCGTTAGTATATAGTAGATGCAGCAGGCCAACCGGGATATACATGAGGCGATGTGTCCCGGAAAAGTGCAGAACCTCTTTGATGGGGAAAAGAGAGGGTCTATTCGCCGGGCTAGTAAAAGCAAAGCAAAGACCCAAGCAAGTTCAGGGCAAACGAGTGACGGGCCTAAAGCCGTTGATATGTAGTGTATATATGTATGTATGTATAAGCGAGGGAATAAACGGGAAGGGCCTCAATAAAGATGACGGGACCAGGTGGAGGCCGGTAATACCGGGTTGACCTAGTCCAGGATCTGGGGTGAGGAAAAAAGAAGAAGAAAATAAAATATTAGTTGTAGGTTCCTCAGGTCCAAGTTTAAGGATAGGACAGGAGGAGAGGATAGAGAAGTAGAGGGTCGAGAAAATGGGCCGGAGTCGAAGAGGGGCTTGTTTGCTATACGACGGACCAGTCAGAATAAAAGCAGAAAGCCGGTTGGACGCGTTCTGAGGAATTGTCGCGTATGTTGGTGTAGGTGGTATTGATGAATGGATACATAGGTAATCCGTAGATATGACCCTTTGTATTCCCGTCCTTTTGGGAACCCTTTTTTTTGTCTTCTTCTCTCTTCTTCTTGGAGTTATTGGCAGGGGTATGCAGATATGCAGGTATGTAGGTATAGCAACCTATCACGAAGGCGAGACAACCGGGAGGCGACCCCGTATCTGCCCCTCCTTAAGATGGCTATTAATGCCACTCAGCAGGCTGGCAGGTAGGAATCTACCGTTGGACAAGACGACGCACGGATAGGCTGACAGGATTCGTGCCTGGCTCGTGTCGTTGGGCTGAATTAACCAATATGATTTGCAGCTCCGAGCTTCTATGCTGCTATGGTACTGGGAGAGAAAGGGTAAAGGGATCCCTGGCGTGGATCGATCTCGGTCCCTGTTTTATTCAGCCCCCAGTCCACCCTTTTTTTTCTCCAGTTCTCTCGTAAACGTTGCTTCTTTTGGCTCTTCTTTCCGCCTTCGACCGTTTGAATCTCAAGCCTCAATTCCCCCCTCAAATATCGATGTCACTATGGTCGTTTCAATTAGAAACCACGTCTTTCGTAACAAGCCTCTCGAGGAGTTTAGTTCATGTTCCGGATATGATAGTTGAATGTTGAATACGTAAGTTGAGACCAGGCAAGCGAAATTTGTCCGAAGTACCGGACTTTTTCGTCGATCGCCTCGGCAGTGGAAAGGGAATGCAGGTACCGCCGTATTCAAGAACGAATGGAATGGAGCTGATGAGTTCTTGATCTACTCAGCCTGCTTACCCAATACGGAAGGATCGTAAGAATGGCAGCGAAGGAATATGAAAAAGTAAGCTTGTCTAACCTTGTACCTGAAGCCAAGAGAAAGAAAGAAGAAAAAAAAGGAGTAAAGGTTTTCAAGGTAAACAATAACGTTGAGCGGATATAGCTTCGTCTTATTAGTATTCCATATTGCTGTTATTGTTATGATTATTACTGTTGCTTACTGATTAATAACAGGTACAGAAAAGTTGGTGGTCTTCTTCGACTTCGCTAACCTAGGAAAAGCCCCGGTAACATCGGTTTTTGATGATATTAGTCTAGATGATATGGGTCCGTGAGAAATCCACATGCTGGCGTGGCCTCGCGACCCTTTCCCACTTGGACGGTACTGAGTCTCTTTGAAAGCTGGCAGCAAGCCCTACACTAAAGTCGTGCTTCTCCACCTTGTTGCGCATCTAGTTGATATTCCGATCGTGATGCAGTCTAGTCACTGATCGAGATGGATTGTTGTTTTCATGTTTCATGCCAGGGACATCGTTGTTTGCTTTGGCCCCGTCCATTAACTGTCTACTACGTATTCTCATACCAGACATCTTTTTCTTCCTGACTTCATATTCATTCCTAAAAACCTCGTATGTAACAAGGACAAGGACAAGCCTAACAAACTAGGGTCGTCATATCAGGCGGGTGATATGACGCCTGGATAATTCCTCATCTATTACGAGCTCATACAAAACAGTGGTCAGAACATTGGCGTCTCCCTAGCTGTGTTCCCGTCTCCCCGGTGAGAAAGATACAGTTCCCCGCTCCATGGCTGTTTCACCTGTACCGGTGGGATAACTACTGGGTTCGTAATAACTACCTACCTAACATACCTAACCTACCTACCTACCTACCTTAGCATGACAATAATAATAAAAGACAGTTCGTGAAACAATGAA